AGGCTATGACGGTGCTGCAGTTATGAGTGGTTGTCTTCTCTGGTGTTCAGAAATGCATATCCGATATAGTTCCTAATGCTTCATATGTCCATTGCACTGCGTATAGCTTGAATTTACGTAATTCAGATGTTGAAAAAATTCATTAAAAATGTCAAATTTTTTCTGATGTGTCCAAAAATGTGTTTGTTTTTAAGCAAGGTGGGCTTCATTGGCATTTGGTGATCAAGAGTCCACAAACTAGTTTACATCAGGCTATAGAATATTTACAAGTATGTATTGATGAAATTCAAAAATAAGGAAATACTTCTGAAGAGCTAGTTTCTTCAGCAACAGAATTATGTTCAAATGGGGAATATCCATCATAAAAGAAAATAAACGTAAGAAATTTGCAAAAGAGGCAGTATGATAGTATTGATAATGATAAACGATTATACACAATTGAAGAAAACTTTCGCATTTCCGTTTTTCTGCCCCTTACTGATATTGCTATATTTCAATTACAAGAACATTTCAAAGGACTTGAAATAGTTTCAAGAAATTTTGGCTTTTTACAACCACTAAACTTAATTAAATACAGTGAAGAAACTATAATCAAGTATGTTATGATTTCATTTCATTTTATAGTACTGATGTTTCATCGATTTTACCAGGCAAGTTTTATCATTAAGAGATTTTTAGGAAAAACTGAAATGAAAAAAATAAACGAATTGTCTTTCTATGTATATTATAGAAATTATATTCATCACTTTTAGTGAAATACTTACCGCCTGCATATTTTTTTTGTCTCTACCAGTAAGTGTTGCATCGGCGGAACACTCTTTTTCTAAATTCAAGTTAATACAAAAACTCTTTACGAAATTCAATTTGCAAATAAAAAAGCAAGGAAAAAACTTTTTAAAATAGTCAATAGACATAACATTTTATTAAAAATTAAGTATATTTAATAAAATCAATTTTATTGTTTATAGCTGACCCGGCAATGATTCGCTATTGCAGATTTCTCAGATCTTAAATTGCTATTTATTTTCTGGATGTTAAAATTATTTTTATTTTAGACCACTTTAGTCACGTCTTCGTGGTAATGTAGCCATATAAATTTAGCGTCGCCATTTGTATAATTTGTCATCACGACATCGCAGTACAATGTCTCTTTTGTCGAATTGTTGTCCTGTTATTAAAACGGCTACCTCGCTCGTTGACAGAGCATTGTAACGACCGCGATGTTCACCATTCGGAACTTTGTTAGAGTGAATTACCAATTTATAGTCTGTAACATTAGAAGGAACGCTTTCAATGGCTGTTTTAAAATACTTTACATGTCTATTATGAGTGTTGAACATGTCTTGTAGGGATCTCATTAATATGCTGTCGAGGATCTCTATGTTACATCGTTGGATACTTGTGTATCAGGATCGGAAATAAAACAAATCTGCAAAAATGTATGGTCATCAGGATGATGTGGAAAAAGACTGCCCGCAACGTGGTAAACCTGACCCTGTACTTTAAAGGTAGGCATAAACCTTTTATGAACTACCTGCTTCCTTCTGAATTAAGTCATTTGGAAAGCAATATAGTAATGAATATCTCGTGTGAATTGTTTATGTTTTGTGTGACTTCCATTAAGAACGGAATTCAATGGTTCTGGTGGTATAATTATATCATCCAATTTTACTTTGCCATTAGAGCAACATAAGGTTTTGCATTCTTCTTTCCATCTCAGAGCAGAACAAAACTGGCAAAAACTAGTGTAGGATTTCCTATAAAAACTGATGGGTTATTTTTGTAATTCACCGTTAACCCATAGTTCATAGCAGAATAATCTTTTCTCGACCATGAACCTCTGTCGTTAACAACATCATCATTATTTTACTGTCGTTCTCTACGTACTACACGCATTCTTTTGGCATCATTCTGAGATCGACCAATGTTTAACTTTCGTCTAGGCATTTTAAAAATGAAAGTAGTACAATCAATTACGGCTTCAAATGATTAAACCAGCCAACAATCAACATTTAATAAAATAACAATCAAAATCGATAAAAGACGTTGCCAGACGACGAGAGCGCACAATACCTGCCTTGGTTATTAGCAGTACAATATGTACAATAATATATATATAATATATATATAGGTATATATACAATTTACACGTTTATTTTAATTAATAATAACTTATTATTTATTAACTTAATCGGACTAATTTTTTGCCTTAAACCTTCTCTGTGATGTCCTCTTTAATTTAAAAAAATTGCACGACAATTGAATAAGTAGTTTCGGAGTTTATCCCGAACAAAATTAAGCGACTTCATTTTATATAGTAGTATAGATATAAATTCTAAATTATATATTATATATTATTAACTATCATTAAGATAAAAAAACAACAAGCAATATGTATTTAATCACCTATTGGTACATGAGCATAGTCGCAACTAGGGTTAAAATTCTGGGGGGCTTCAGTCCACCTAACAAAACTATTAATTTAAAATAACCTATAAGCGGCTTAGGTATATCTAAATAAATAAGGAATATTTTTTGGAGTTGTCTGAATCGTAGTCGGAGGGGGCTTTAGCCCTCCCCCCGCCCACCCTCATAGCTGCGCCACTGTACATGGTATATTTGGTCGCACACCCACCAATATGTACCAAGTTGCGGCCAGTGGCGTATTTGATCGCCCCTATCGCCCCCCCCCCCACCCGAGAGATCTTTGAAAAAAATATTTTATGATTGTTGAACTTATAAGTGTTTCTAAATATTTTAATTAATAAATAAATATTTTTTTAGGATGATAAATTTTTTTGATAACTCAACTGATAATACATAAATACAACCGGATTACTGATTAGTGATTGCGCTATGGTCCGCAAAAATTTAACATTTGGACATATATTATTAATAATATATATCAGGGGTGGCCAACATGACTATGTACGTGAGCCACATGTATTAATAAAATTTTATCAAGAGCCAAATTATCTAATGTGTACTTCTATACCACAAAAGTAATAAAGATAGCAAACAGCCGATAAACATATCAAATTACGAAATATGAAATTATATCGTTTTTAATATTTTAATTTTTTTATTTATTATTCATATTAATTAATTTTTTTTTTTTTTGATTTAATCTATATTCTATACACTATAATACTATAATAGCCTTAAATAAATACCATAAAAAAATTTTTTTTTATAAATGTATACAAAAAAAATTAAAATATTTTGGTTTTTGTAAATAAGACCGCGAGCCGCATACGACTGTGACGAGAGCCGTATGCGGCTCGCGAGCCGTGATTTGGCCACCACTGATATATATCTATGCGTTTGGCCTGAGGACTGGGTGACGTAGTCGTGCCAAACGACTGATGGAACGGAACGTCACCTGTCGAAATGGTTACCTAAATGGTCACGATGCGGGTCATTTCGTCATTGTGATAAACTGATAACCGCGTATCTGTGTGTGAATAATCATATTATATACTTATCTATGGAATAATTAAATATGATATTTATGAAAATGTGTTGTGTGTGTTCGACTGTTCCGTTCGCCTGTTCGCCATACAAATGTTATTCGTACACTTGCGACTTGCAACTGATTTTATATCCCGTATTCCCGTGCACGCTATTTTATATACGCGCCATTGTGCCGTCATCAATTCATCCCACGGTCGTCGTGTATAGTATTATTTTGTACTAGTGCGAAATTTACCAGTTGTTGTAATTGCTGTTACACGTAAATAATAATATTACCTTTTAACTACCATGTCCAATTTATTGAGTCAATGGTTAAAACGCAAAGATGTTGACAATGATCCTGACAAAAACAGCAAAAAAATGTTAAATGACACTATGACAAATATAACCGCACCGACTTCTGCAAATTCATCATCGCTGAATACACCAGTAACTAATATTTAATCTGGTAGCAGTGCATTTTTTAAGGATATTTTACTTTGTGACAAATGTTAACTCAAAATAGATAGTAATTTATAGTAGGTAATAAATTCATGTTTACCCCTCATAATTATTAAAAATAAATCTTGATGCTAGAAGTAAATGGTAGGTAGGTAAAAGTTATAAAAAAGTCATAATTTATTTAAAAGAAGATAATTAATATTATATATAAATAAATATTAAATTACATAATCTAATATTTTTATAATATAATCACATGTTTATTCTATAAATTGAAAAAAATATTAACAAAAACAAATTATATTTAGACTTAAAAATATCATATACTATTTTTAAAACTTTTTTATGAATGAACGATTTTTATATGTTTCTTGGTCTGGAAGATTGTAACGTCGTTCCTTTTTTCTTAACCCTTTATAGGTCTGTGGTAGCTATATTTACCAGACAGTTTTTTATTTTTCTACCAATGGATTATTGATATATTACTTTACCACTCGATGCAATGGGTAATTTAATGTCATATGAGTGGTAAGCCTGTACGTCAAACGTTGTATTTGTTATCTTGTTATCGGTAATCGCGTTAACATATTAAAGTGGTAAATTATTATACCACTGCGCTTTAAGAGCGTGTAATTTTTCTTAACATGTAAATTTTCGACCTAAGAATATGTTTATTTTTTAAAATATTACTGTTTAGACTCTCCACGGTAAGTACATTTATAGTTAATAACATTTTTAACTTGGTTCGTGTATAATCGTACCTTGATTACTTAAACAACATTTTAAATATGTGTACAAAAACATTTTTTTTTTTTCATACATTTTTTCAGTGTAAACTTTGATAATTTTTAAAAATAATTTAAGTTTCTATATTTGTGTATATGAATAATGTTTTAAATTGTATATGTTGCTTAGAGTTTAATTTGATTTTAATAATTCTAAATTTTGGTTCGGCAAGGAAATTATTTTCACACTAGCAAACATTTTCTTATCAATCTTAGCGAAATACAATTTGAACATTTTCACTATTCTGCATAAAGTAATATTTTATTATATTTTTTTGGATTGTTATAGACTGTGTCACAATGAAGGACTCAGAAATATTGAGTATGTTAAATGGCATAACTGATGACCAAGCTGAGTATTCAGATATCGGAGGGGACAGTAATGCTGAAGACTGTTTACCTATTGAAGTAAGTGTGAATAGTTCAGTGACAAGATCACTGAATTCATCTGGCCACAGTAGTACTCCGCAGGCAGATGTGGTTTTTGTAGTACAAAAGAAAAATAAAAAAGATCAAACTTAATTTGCAAAGCATGTGATAAAGCTTTATGCAAAAGTTGTTTTGGGCCTTATCATGGCTTACAATAAACAAATACTTGATAAATATATTTTATTTTTTAGCTTATTTTTAGTCAAAAGTTTGACTTATTATTTTAATGTGATAGTATATAAATTATGTTACTATATTTATACAAAAGACTAAAATGTATAGTGATTATTTATTATTATTATTTGTTGTTTGTTTTTATATTTATTTTACTTGTATGGGTAAAACATATAAATATTTTGTTTTTTAGTTTTTTAGTCATAAGTTTGACTTATTATTTTTTAAATGTGATTCATATATTTATACAAAAGTCTGACAAGTATACTAATTATTATTAATTGTTTTTTGTTTGTTTTTATATATATTTTGTTGATATAAGTACAGCATAATATTATGTTAAAAATGTATTCAAGTACCTATTTTATTTTATATTTATTTTAAGTATTAATCTTATAAGACTGAAAAGTATAGAGTCATTTATAAATGTGTGATAATTTAAATTTTATATCATCTTTAAATATTGTTAATAAAAAAACCATTTTATATGCAAATTTAACTATTATTTTATTGTATTCCTATTAAGTAGTCAAGTGGTAAAATAATTTACCAGTAACCAATTAGTGATAATACAAGTCTTAGATGATCAGTGGTAAACTATTTTACCACCCTATAACTTCCAAACTTTAAGTATAAAATTTTTTTTTTTTCAAATTCATTTAAATATACATGTATGTGAGTCTGGAAACCAAATTTTGGGTCAAACAAAGTAAATGCACCTTATGCCCTATAAACGTAGCCACTGCTGGTCTAGGATCGAAATTCGCTGTTCCAGTGCTGTTTAGAGCAATATACATCCTACTATTAATTGCATCCCTCGAATAGCAAGACTGTTTATTGGTTTTCAATATAGTGTGGCAGGATACAGCACGTTCTAGTCCACAACTATGTGGTGTTATTGTGGCATATGCTTGTACCACTTTTGCAAAAAATTTCGTTGAGCTGCTTCTTTTTAAATAGTAATACAATTTTCCTGTTGGGTCTGTAATGTTAATAGGACATGGAAGTTTATCTGTTGCATATAAACCAATAACTTCGTCACAAAAAGTTGTTACATTTTCATTACCGAAAATACCTTCAATGTCACATCTTATCGCTTTGATTGTATCTTGAGGCGATCTCGCACTTAAAAAAGTTGTAAATCGTTGTATAATACTTGATTGATCATCGGCAAGTATATTACTTAAAAATTCCTTTGCGCTTTTCACTATTTCCGTTCTAACGCTGGTTACACAGCACTTCGTAGAAACATATACATTCCGATTTTTTCTATGATTCTTAGAACTAATATTACCATTGTTTATTTCATCGCTGTTATCGGATATTTTAACATCTAAAAACTTATTTAGTTCTTCCTCCTTACCTCCAGGATAATAATCAGTCTCCATCAGCTCTAAAGATGATATGTCTATGTTTTCAGACGTCTCAATGTCACATAATGTAACCATTGACTTTTGACCATCTTTTTGGAATCTTTCAAAAAGGCGAAGTAAATCCATCATTAATGCCGTATAAAATATTTGATCTCCGTCTTCTTCCCATACTTTTAAAAATTATGTTACCATTGCTTTCTCTTTTCTATTACTGGTATCAGTATCAGCTGTAACTATATTATTCCAATGCTTTCTTATAGATGACATATTTTCCCAAACAGATTCGCATTATAAAATTAGATGTTCTACAAAACGAACTTCAAAATATTGCGGAAACCTGTACAATTTTACTTTTTCCTTTTCCGAAATTGCCTTGAGTTCATCGGTACGAATTGCAGAACCTCTATAAAATGTAGCGACAGATTTTAGATTTATTTTCTAATGTTTATCCTCCTTAACCATTGATTCTATATCAGAAAATGCCAAATCACAACTATGTGTTACACACCAAATACATAGTATATCCCTTTTTAAGTATTCTCTCAACCTAACCCAAAGACCACTTTTTTTTCAGTATAGGCACTTTCTCCGTCAGTTGTTAAGCCAGTTAATTTTTCTTTGGAAATGTCTTCTAATCCGAGGTTTTTTAAAGTACTTAAAATACAATCCAGTAACCCTTCTGCACCACGTTTGCTTGAATGACTTTCACCTAAGAAAACGTTTTTGATAGCATTTGTTTCGTCTAAATACCGAGCGGTGATAAACTTATTGTCTACTGAATATTTTTCAACTGATCCATCGATTTGAATTGAGAAAAAATAGACTTTTTCAATTCTTCTGATACAGATTCCATAACAATTTCCGCAATTATATCTAACATTTCACGATAGATATTTTGATCTTTATAATGTAAGACAGCACCAGAAGGATTAAAACTAACAAAATCTGAGTCGACAAATAGCGGGTGAGTAACTAACAATTTTATTTACCCCCTTGTCCCCTTGTCACGTTGCCGGTGACGGAGGAACAGTCGGCACTTTGTGAAGAACCGTCGCGGCAATACTGACGGCGACAACTGTCCTCCGGCGGGAAAATTTAAATTTACGAAAATGCTCTAAGTCGTAGGCACGGCAAAAACCGTCGAATCGAGCCGGGGTCTACGACAAACACGTTTTCGGGGAGCATCGCCTATGTTTCCACCATCGGGAACATAAGCCCCCTCCCCCCACGTTTTTCGGCGATAACTCGGCCAATTTTGGTCTGAGAGGCTCGGGGAAAAAATGTTGCCCCCCTTACACTTCTTGATAGCTGAGACGGCACTAGACAAGCTGCTGAAAACCCGATCCCTCTACCATCACCAGGGGCTGAGATATAGGGGAAATAGGGCTCAGGGGCGGCAAAACTCGCAGCGACCGGGTAAACGAGGCTAGGCCCCCCCACCCGATCAGACAGGCTTCCTAAGAGGTTACTGCACATTTTGTCCCGGATCCGGCCAGCTCCCTCCCATTAGGGGCGGAAAAATTCGAGGGCGCAGTTTCGTCCGAAATCAGAACCTGGGCTTATAGGTCCAACACAGGGCGCAGATACCTACGGATTCAGCACCCCTGTATTGGCTGGGTGGAGAAGTGGTAGCAACAAAGGGGGCAAGGATCATCGGAACTCCCCCCTTGCCATGGACCCCTCGGGGTCAACAGAAGGAGTAATCTCAGCATCCGACGGGACGGTTGGGAAGAAGACAGACAGACTACTCGAGAGTAAAATGAAAGCGACTAATTGATTTTTATTAAAAAATATTAATTAATATTATTATTAATTAATATTAATACAATTAAACCGACATTTTCCAGGGTGTATGCCCGCGGAATATCAAGGTCACATATTGACATCACGTTCGTCAATGAGAAGAGTAGCCACCTGGTTTGTGACTGGAAAACATTGGACGACTACAGTGCATCACTTCATAGATACATTACGTACAGCATCAAAAGGGAAGTACGCACAGAGAGCCCCTAGAGGAGAAGTGGTCGTGGAGGAAGTATGATAGAACGAAACTCTTAAATTTCATCGAATCAGCCGACTTTGTAACGTGCGGCGAGGTGATAGAGGCTGCGAGTTCACTGGATAAGTACCTTAAAACTGCATGTAACAGCCGCATGCCCAAGGGAAAGTACACTGGTGGCAAGAAGCCTGCCTACTGGTGGACCCAGGATATTGCCAAGATACGAGCAGAATGTCATAAAGCTAGGCGAGAGTACAAGAGGGGACGTTTCAGACCGATCGAGGAACAGGAACAAAAGAAGGAAGCCTTCAAGGAAAAGAGAAAGGAGCTGAAGTTGGCCATCCAGAGGAGCAAGAAATCAAGCTGGGCAGACCTTTGTAGACAAGTAGAGACTGATCCATGGGTCCACGGGTTGCTGGATATGGATACAGGAGAGAACGTGACCGGTATATCGTCTACAGAGTTGGTGGCCTTCGGGGACGATGTGGCGGTGGTGTCGACCGGACACACGACAAGGCTACAGGAGACCGCAACGAATGAGGCGTTGATCAGAGTAGCTGAGTGGATGTCAAGCGCCGGCCTTGCTCTATCAATAAGAAAATCAGAGGTGGTGATACTGACCAAAAAGAGGGGCTACAACATGCCTGAGTTTTCGATCGCGGGCAGTCGCATCGAAATATAGGAGAGTATCAAGTACTTAGGTGTAGAACTACACAGGGTGCTGGGCTTTAAAGCGCACATAAAGACGGCGGCGGCGAAGGCAAATAGTACTGCATCGGCAATAGCAAGATTGATGCCCAATATCGGGGGTTCGGGACAGAGGAGGAGGAATCTCCTGTCCACAGTCGTGGGGAGCAAACTGCTATACGCGTCGCCGATATGGTCTAAAGCCCTTGTCTTCAACCATAACACCGAAAACTTAGAGAGGCCCCAGAGGACGATTGCGGTAAGGATAGCAAGAGCCTACCGCATGATATCCACGGCGGCAGTGATGGTAATCACGGGCCTAATACCAGCTTACCTTTTGGCATGGGAGCGAACGGAGAAGTACAAACGGAAGCACGAACCAGACCAGACACGAGTGACAATGGAGACCAAGGGAGAGGTGATGAATAGATGGCAAAGAGAGTGGGACAACGAAGAGAACGGCGAATGATTAAGGACATCAATACGTGGACAAACAGGAAACATGGCTCCGTGGATTTCCACCTCACACAACTACTATCTGACCATGGTTGTTTTGGAGCATACCTGAAGAGGATCGGGAAGCAGGAGGATCCGAGTTGTGCGACCTGCGAGGAGCCGGTCGACGACGCGGAGCACGTGTTCTTTAGGTGCGATAGATGGTGGAGAGAAAGTAGAGCGCTGGAAGTAGAGCTTTAAGAAGACGCATTGAGTCCAGACAATATTGTTGGATGCATGTTGAAGAAGCGGAGCAACTGGGACGCAGTCAACAGTTTTGTGAAACGTGTCCAGTCCCGTAGAGAAGAAGATGAGCGACGGAGACAACGAGGATTTAATTAAGGGCTAGTTAGTTAAGTCAATTTAAATTGTGCGCCAATGGCGGAATTAGAGGGATAGATCCCTCAGTTTTTATGTGGAGCGAAGCTCTTAAATTAAATTAGTAAGTTATGGCCATATGTAGATACGTTTCAATAAACGATACGGATACAGGGGGAAGGACGACCCACCAGGGTGTAGTGCCCCCCTGTAGCGCCGTGATACTTCACAAAAAAAAAAAAAAAAAAAAGGTATATCTATTAAATATTTTTTTTTCAATGATAATCTTATTTAAATAAATAACTTGAATTTGTATTGCCATATTTTAATTATACTGAACTAATTTACCTTTATACTTGTATTATTTTATATGATCAGGATTTTTTTTCAGTGTAGGTAATAAAAAAGTAAGTTAAAAAGTAAAAAAAGTTAGTATGATGAAAAAGTGTTTACAGGACAAAAAAAAATAATAAACAATAATTTAAAGCCAATACAAAACTATAACTATTAGACATAAAAAAATTAAAAAAATAATAACAGCAAAGGTAAAAACAATAGAATTAAAATAAATTTATGAAATTTCTATAACATTTTTACTTTACAGTAACTTAATTAAGAAAGATGAAGAGAACAATAGTTTCTTATTTTAAAGCTACAGCTGCAGATTCTAGTAAATATTCAGAAGAAAAAGCAAGTTCATCACCATCAGCACAGTTAACTGAATTAGATGAAGAAGAAAATTGTGTTATAGAATCATCCAACTTACTTTCTGTAAATTCGTCCGCCTTAAAAGAGCGCCATTATAATATAAAGTGGGAACAAAAATACAAATGGCTAGTATTAATGAAGAAAAAAAGATGCATTTTGTAAACTATTTCAACATTTTATGAAAAATGACCTAAAAGTTCTCCAAAAGACAGGTGGCGTGTTTATTACTGTTCCATTTACATCTTACAAGAATGCTTTAGGTAAAATTGGAAAATTAGAGAAACATGAACATTCATCAGCTCACACTGTAAGTATAGAAATGGAAAAAATCAAAAATGAAAAAACCGATTCATACTCAAATCGTTCAGCAAAGTGAAAGTGAAATACAATTAAACAGAAAAAGTTTAAAAATTCTTTTGAGAGGCTTGTACTTTTTGGTATAAGAAGAAATAGCTCATACTACTAAGTATGGAAGTTTAATTGAAAGTATTTTTGACAAGTTAAATGATGATTTTAAAACATGGAGAGAATCTCAAAGTGATAGATCAAATTATAGCAGCAAAGACACAGCCTGTGAATTATTAGTTTGTATGGGTGAAATTTTGAGAAATGAACTGAAGAAAACATTTAAAAACAAAAAAATTTCTATTTTAGCAGATGAAAGTACTTCTTTGAAAAATGAAATGGAACTAAGTATAATGATTAGATTTGTAGAAGATAAAGTTCCAGTGGAAAAGTTTTTGGCAATAGTTAAAATCCCAAATGGAACAGCAGAAACTATTGACAAAGAACTGACTAGTCTTGATTTGAACTACAGTAATGTTATAGCCTTCTGATTTGATGGTGCCGCCAATATAGCTGGGAATGTAGGAGGTGTGAGAAGGAAGCTTTCAGAAAAAGCAAAGAGAGATATTCTTTACATTCACTGCAAAGCACACATTTTGTCATTAGCAGCAGCTTCATGTAGAAATAAAAACAAAAAGGTCAACAGATTTTTTTATGTTTTAAAAGACATTTATAAATTATTTAGTAAATCGCCTAAAAGAGAAAATATTTTTCATGAAATTCAAGCAGTAATAAATGACCCAATTCTTAAGATTCCTGAATTCATTGAAGTGAGGTGGCTATCCCACTACAAGATAGTTAATGCTGTTTTTAGAAGTTTAAAATCTATCATAATGGCTTGTGAGTAATCCATAAGGACGGTATAGATCTTGCATCACTAGCAGGTGGTATTTTGTTGGAAATAAGAAAAACAAGTTTCTTTATCACCTATTATGTAATGAATGAACTCCTCAGTGCCCTCTCTTATCTTAGTAATACTTTGCAAAAAAGAAATCTTAATCTGGCTAATGTGATTCCTCTCATAACAACAACAAAATTACATCTAAATGATATTGCAAATCAGTGTGTAAACACCAATAGTAACTTGTACATCAAAATTCAAAACGAAATACTTGATAAGTTTGGGTCTGAAATGCATTTGACTGCTGATGAAGATACAAAAACAACATTAAAACAAATGAAAGAGTATTGTGAAAGCTTAATCAGAGAAATTGATAATAGAATCAATGACAAATCTATTAATATAATGAAATTTGCTAGTCACTTTGAGAGCTTCCTGTCTTTCATTGGTATACAGGACACTGAATTGAAAACAATTTGTGGTTATTTTCCAATGCTTAATGCAGAAGCTATACTGGCAGATATGAAGTCATTTAATTTTTTTATCAAGTCTATGCTGGATAGTGGAATATACAAAGTACACGAAAGTCCATTAATTAAAATCATGGAAGCTGATATAGGATATAATGAACTACAACAGCTTTGTGAAATACTTCTCGTCATCCCCGTTACCACAGCTTCGGTTGAAAGTAGAGCTCCTTATTCCACGTGTACACGCCTTCACGTATTCACGTGAAATGAACATCCGAAAATTTAAAACCGTGTACTTAAAAAATTCGTGTACACGTGTAATTATTCACGTGTACACGAATATTCACGTATTCACGTATTTTAATGTTTTAATATATCCTTTATTATTAGCCATACAATTTACTTATAAAGATATACAAAAACTATAGACAATTTAACAAAAGCATTTGGTACATTTATAACTACGATTTCAAACAAACTAAAGACAAAAATACTGTAGAAAAATTAATTAAATTAAACATGTAAATAAGAATGATTTCAAATTTGAATAATTCAATACATTTCTTAATTGTTACAAAATTATTAGGTTCATCACTAGATTAAGAAATAATTGTAATAGTTTATATTGATAAATTATAAAAAATGTATTCATAATAATGACAAATCTTTTATGAATATAAAAAAAATAATAATTTATAAATAATTAAGTATGATATAAATAATAATAATATTATGGTATTAAATTTCGATTTTGATATAAGAAAACTAATAAATTAACATTTTTTGTCAATAATGATGTTCTTTTTGAATTTACCACGTTTCCAGCTGTGGAAAAACATCGTTCAGAACTCACTGATGAGCTACCCTGGCGGGTATTGATAAATATTTTTTTGCCAGTATTCCAATTCCTAGATATTTATCTACTCTAGATTTCCACCAGTCAAATGGATTCAAATCGAACTTTAATTGAGGTTCTGCTAAATAATTTTGAAACTCTGTCGTCAAATCGTTGACTTCAGTAACATCATCACCATAAAGGAATTCTAGTGCACTTTTTTGAAGTGATGGTTCGCGTCGTGTATTTACATTATGTGCATCAGTTTCAGTATTATTTAATAAACTGATAACGGATGATCGAATGCTTTCTCGTGCAATTATGGATTCGTGATCCAAATTGTTATACCTTGGATCCAAAAATGACGCGATTTGTCGAATAGAAACTCTGCTTTCTGAATCCCACTCAAGATTAAACCGTTCTTTAATATCAGAAATAATAGTTTGCTTAAAATAATTTATACTTTGGTCGTCATTATCTTGTGGTTTTAAATGGTTGTCTAACAATTTTTTGAGTAATGGCCTTACCATTGAAGTCGGTGAATGCTTTTCTCCACATAGAAGTGACGTAATAACTTGCAATGGCTTAAGAAGACTGACAAGAGTTTCTATTTTTAACCATTGCTGCTCTGAGATTTCTAATTTTTGAGCTATGAGTATGGAAATTATAGATCGATCAGCCATCACAGCAGAAATTGGACATCTGTTTTTAAAAATACGTTCTAGCATTAGGTAGATGAATTCCGCCGTGTCTTACAACTTTGCTATAAAGACTGTTCAGGCATACCTAATTGTTTTTGTATATTTAGTAAAGATTGTTTTGCCAAATTCGAATGTTTAAAATGTCCTACTAGCCTGCTGCTCTGATTAATTATTTCCGAAATTGTATCTTCTTTTAATGCTTTATTTATTGATAGTTGTAAACTATGAGCTGCACACGTCACATCTGAAATATTATTATTAGTTGTATTAGAAAGTAATTGAACGGCATTTACTACATTTTTTGCGTTATCTGTTATAACAGTCGTAACTTTATCTTTAATTTCCCAGTTGGAGAATACATTTTCTAATTTGTCAGCTATGTTTAAAGCTGTATGACGTTCTTCCATTTCTTGGGTTGTTAAAGTAAATGACATCGGAGACCAATCATTATTTAAAGCATGTGCAGTTATAGTTATATAAAAATGTTGGGCCAATGAAGACCAACAATCTGATGTGCATACAACACTTTGAACAGCTTTTAAATCATTTCGTATTTTTTCTTCGACGGTTGACTTAAAAAAGTGTAGTCTTTTTTTTAATGCTTCCTCTCTGATTATTTTATAGTTTGGTTCTACGACGGCCATAAATTGATGGAATCCAGAGCTTGAACAAAATGATAGTGGTAATTGGTTCATTGAAATAAGTTTGGCCAACGCTTTATGAATTGACTCTGTTCTTTCAGGGCTGCATTTACGATCACTATCACTATCATGTGCCAAAACACGGCGACGCTTTCTTGGTATTATATTATGTTGACTTGATTGTGTAAAACTGCTATTGGTACTTGAAGATGACGATTGGCTGTTTGTTAATGAATCTGTGTCTTGTAAAGAGTTAATTGCTTCGATATTATTTGATGAAATTAACCTATAGATACGTGTTGGTTGAGAATAAGTATAATACAATATATAAAACAAATTAAGTACATTGAAATAAAAAAAAGATGACCAAGTGTGTAATACTCTGCTGTACAGTAGTAGTCGAGTGAATTAAATCTGAATTCAATAATATATCATTGTATACGAAAAACAATTTTGATCGGAGACGGACTGTCAGCGAATATTATATTAAGAAAATAAGTAGGTACCTATATTTTATCATATTAATCAGCCTCATCCAAAGATATTTTATAGTATTAGATAGATCCATACTGTTTGTTTATTTGTAGGATAATCAAAATGATTTAAAGATTGCATTATATATATAATTAATATAATAATATATGTATAAGTTTTAAATCCCTACAAAAAATATTTTTTAATTTAAATTAAATAACTAAATCGTTATTCTTCATAAAAATAGCTAATTGATCATCCAAATTTATACGTAAAATATTAAAAAAAAAAAAAAATTGTGCCAATGCATTTCTTACATATTTTGGTTTTATCATGACCTACTTACGAGGGAACTTATATTAAATATTCAGGTCTAAGATATAAAAATAATATTTTTTATGAATATCTAGCTAATATCATTAATATAATCAATAATATAATCAATACATAGGTACATTAATACAGAGGTATCTATAATAGCTATATTGTTTTTTGTTTTAATTGTTTTTGCGATAATTACAAAAAAAATAAAAATAAAATTCACTGCAAATAATAGGCATAAATGTGTATTTATCAATTTCTAATGTGCATACCTCTTAGATGTTGATGTCTCTGGCTGATAAACTTTATGCATGATTTTTAAATGTCTTATTAATGACCCAGTTGTTCCACCAACACAAGAATATTCATTATTTTCATCTTCGTCACATAATTCGCAATATGCTTTATCTCCTTTTCGTTGAGCATATTCCCATACCCAACTTCTTTTTTAACCCATTATTGTAAAACTGAATGTGTAATATTTGATGAACACGCAATACAGAAAAAAGTCAACTGTGCAAATATTTGTTAGTAAAGTTACTATTTTCTAATCGAATTTATAAATTGATGATAAAAACGACATATTCCACTCAAGCTTGATCACAACAAATAAACATAGGTACATATAGAATACAATATTGGGTATACCGTAAATTGCCTATAATTAAGCGCGTGGATAAGATAACGAAAAAAATGTATATACCTAGTATTCGTTTTATTTTATATAAACAAGTATCTTTTTCTATTATTCAATATTTAATAAATAGGTAATAAGTTAATTTGCTCGACACGTGCAGTTCATAAACGCTGGTTATCATATAATATTATGATATACCTATAATACCGAATATCCGTGAATACGTGAATAACTTTAAAATACGTGAACACGGATATTAAATAAACGTGTATTAAGTATACGTGAATACAAATTTTTTATTCACGTGTACACGGACTTCGTGTTCACGTACGTATTAATTCACGTTTCCAATCGAGGACTCTAGTTGAAAGATCTTTCAGCACAATGAATAGAGTTCTTAAAAAGACGAGAAAAAAAATGCTACTGTAGGAACCTTAATGCATTGCATGCTTATCAGTATTGAAGGGCCTGACGTTCCAACAGAAGATTTCTTGGACAAAACGGTAGATTTGTACGCAGCTAAAAAAAATCGCCGAATTCGATTTCTTTAGAACTTAAAACAATTTATTAACTGTAATAATATCATTTAAAATTATAATTCAACAACTTTTAACTAAAAATAATGTAAAAATGATTTTTTAAATATTTTAATATATAAATATATAATATATAATATATTTTAATATACAATTTATTTATTAAATACATTTTTTAATATTATTATTATTTTTTTTTTTTTTGTATCTATATTGAACTTAGCATACATGTATTTAAAAATAAGTTTAGGTTATATATAATAATACTATGTGTGTATGTAAAACTTTATGCGAAATGTTGGGTATGACGTATCTATTTAATTATAATGTTCACAGTCATAACAGACTACCTATTACAGTATAATAATGTGATATTGTGTAAATAAAATAATACGTATTATAATTGCCACTCCGATTTTTTCAAATGCCCCTCCGAAGAAAATTGTCTGAAAGAAACACTGCTTGGCTGATATCGAAAATAGGCCAGGATCGGCTTACTGGGTTGGCATTATTAAACATTCATAGATCTATAGAAATAAATGTTGATGATGTAATTGATCGATTCACAAGACTTAAAAAAAGAAATATAGATTTTGTTATGTAAATAAAAATTATTTAATAAAAGTGCTTAAATAAATAATAAAAATGCTGTGTTTTTTTATGTCTAAAAAAATGTTTTTAATTGGTGGGGGTGGTTTACTCCTCTTAATATCACCCCCCCCCCCCTAGATGAAGTCTCAAATACGCCACTGGTTGCGGCACTGTATATATTAATAATAAAGAAGAACATACACGAAAGATAAATGTATAATATGTTATATATAATAATAATAATAATAATAATAATAAAGAGAAAAGATCGGAAGTTTGTAAAATTACGTAAGAAAATCGAAAAAAAAATGTAAAAAAGCCGGGTGTCAGGCGGCCGTGTAAACCACACATACAGCACAGACGGTATCGCCGCCCGAAGAGCGTACGACGGATACGATCTTGGGACCTACATATCTCCTAATTAACGCCCAACCTACTGGGACACAGTTTGTGTTATGGAGTACGGTCAAAACATCAACACTTAAGCTGTGCGTCTACGGAGCTACGTAAGCCAAAATCATTGATTATAATATATACTATAATATAGCTCACTGGGCTATTTTTCGGCGGCACGATAAGAGTCGGGTAACGCTATAAGGCGCTGTAGTCGCGTGGTTAGTGTGGTCGGGTAACGTTGTAATCGCTAGTAGTCACGTCTGGTAGGCGGTAGCACAACGATTTTGGGAGAGGCACATCATTCCATGATCTACTACGCGCCTATGCTTTAGGCCGCGTGTACATTGGCGAGCGGCGAGCGTCGAGCGGCGCGTTGGGAAAAAAATTTAAACTCATATAATTTAAATCGGAGTGTGTACATTGGTTACTAGCGGCGAGCGGCAGCGGCGCGGCGTGTCTCAAATCAAACATGTTTGAATTTCACCGCTCGCCGCTCATGAAATATTTATTTTAATGATGATATTTTATTTATTAATATAATATGATTCAATGTAAAAATAGTCTTGATGATTAAAATTCTGGTCTTAATACTCGATGAACGTCAAAACAATCATAATTTGTTTATTTTGCTATTTAAAGAATTGTACCAAGTTTCCAAAATAATAGATAAATATGTTCAGAAGATTTCTGTTGTTGAGTTGTACGCAGTATGGGTAAACCATTGTAGTTGTAGTTCAAACTGCTTATAGTGAACACATATTTTGTAAATTACTCTGTAATCATTTCATACTTCATAATGTCAAAATCAAATATTAATAATGCTATGCGAGAAATTTTAATTTCGGAAGTACAAACCAGACCATCTTTATGGGATGATACTCACCCTGAGTACAAAAATGTCGAAAAAAACAAAAAATTGTGGTGTGAAAATGGAAAATTAGTTGGAATACCCGGTATGTATATTTTGAAAATATAGGTATTCAGTTTTAGTATGTTAATGTAAAATATTTATAAATCATCACTAGACTAATTAACTTTTTACAACAATAGACTTGTATATAATTTATAAAAAAAATATTATATCATATACATATGATATGGCAATGCATAGCATGGTGTTGGGGGAGGGGATCCCTTTCGTCTAGGCCTACAATAAGATGAATATTTACCTATTCAAAATATTAAATAACCTTCTATTATAGTTATATCGAAAGGTGTAAGGTGTAATAATTTGTTTTGTCTGTTAAACCCCCTGTTAAAATTATATGGATCCGTGCCTCAGAACTAGTTGTACTACAACTGTTGTGGTAATATAATTTACTAAAATAAAATACTTGAGGTTAAAAATATAGGAAACGGCTGAATTATTATTAGATATTGTTTTAATATTTTACGTAGCTACCAATTTTTCGATGACTGTTCACACATTTTTACTCGAAGTATTTTATTGTAATTTGTTTTAGTATAGGTATTATTATATAAATAATATTCTATAATACCTACTGTGTTATTTACAATATTATAATAATAAAAATTGACAAATAATCATTATCTATGTTATTTATTGACTAAATTATATCGGTATAATTTAAGTTCTTATTTAATTTTAAGATTTAAAAAAAAAACTGTTTTGCAAATTTTTGAACTACCTTATTATGGGTTATTTAAAAAATAATCTACATATACATTTCTTATTTCTTTCGCTCTTTGAAGTGAATTTGCACCTCGTGCTGGATGATCCATACCTTCATTTTCCCAATTGTTTCGTTGGTCTATCATAACATTGCAGTAATCGACATCACTATTGCCGTCTTTCTCTCTGATAATGTTATGCAATAAACACATGCATTTAATAATTACTACTGCTTTTTTTGGGCTCACTTCTATGTCCTTCCCTAGTAATCTCCATTTTGCGCGTAGAATTCCAAAAGTACATTCAATGCACTTGCGTGCTCTTGATAATCTTTCGTTGAAATATTCCCGTGCTGGATTTAGTACTCGAGATGGAAATGGGCGCATTAAGTACGGCTTTAATGGATAAGCTTCGTCTCCGATCAAAACATAGGGTACCTACTTTAATATTTGTACCAGGTAAATGTTTTTCTGGTGGTACATTCAAATTATTATTGCTTATTAAATTAAAAAGTTTAGAAGATGCAAAAGTTCCACCATCGCTCTGTTTACCTCTGGCACCAACATCAATTATTATAAATTTTTTATCCGCATCAGCAACTCCTTGTAAAACTAGTGAAAAATATTTTAAGTAGTTGAAGTGACTTGATCCTGAATTTTTGGGACATTTAATCTGACAATGTTTGCCATCTATAGAGCCAATGCAATTTGGAAAGCCCCATTTGTCATTGTAATCTACACTAACTTTTTCCCAATGTTCTTTTGTAGGAACTGGCATAAATTCATTTACGAGTTCTTCCCAAATAACTAGACAAGTCTCGTGAACAATTTTAGCAACAGTGCATGCACCCATTCGCATTGAAAAAGCAAGGTTCCGAAAAGAAAGACCAGTTGATAAATATCTATGGAAAAAAACATTTATTAATTACTAAAAAATCATTTTATACAATAGGTTACAACTTTAGAAGTGGGTCCCTGTAATGGATGGTGTTAAATTGTAATTTAATGACATAAAATCTCGTTGAATACGAAAAACGATTCTGAACGGAGACTGTTTGTCAGTCTAGGATATTTTATTGTTTATAATATATTAATTAATAATTATATTGCTATTATTTCAGGAAAAAAAATGTACCTACCTGTAAATTAATTTAAATAATTATAATATTTAATATTTATTAATTTCAAATTTTCAAATTAATTAAATTAGATTCATTATGTACACATTCATTTTTAAATTACAACAATATAATTAAATTTTTTTCTTAATTATTTAACATGTTATTTCATCCAAATTTGAACTTAAAATAACTATAAAAAAAACTGTGTTTGTATAGTTTTTAGATTTTTTTTTGCCGTAGAGTTAACTACTTACGCGGAACCTTGTTTTAAATTTTCAATACTTAGCTATGAAAGTTTATAAATCTTATTTTTAATTTTGAGCGACTAAAGAATTCATAAATTTTCAATTAATTTATTGTCAAAATTCGAAATTTAAGCAGTTAAAAAAAAAGATGTTATTATGTATTATTAATATATTTCAACTAGCATTGTATCAATATATTAGGAGCCTTGTATTAAATTTTCAAAATTTTTGATTCTGCAATGAATAAAATTTCAAATGTCTATAAATAACTTAAAAATAGTTGAAAAATTTATCAAGTATAGGAATTGATAAAATAAACATATGGTGAAAATTTAAAGTTTCCACAAATATTCGTTTTTGAATAACAACAAATTAAGAATATCGGTACAAGACAAATTGAGTGGATATTCATATCCAAAGTATAATTCAAATGTTCATAAAAATTTAATTTGACTTTCCAATAAACATTTTTTATTTGATATAAGTAGACAAACTCTCGAAGAATTTTATATTGAATTTTCAAATCTTAGATTCAAAAAGATAACATTTTTATGATTTTGTAACTCAAAATAAATTGAAATTTCCGTGATTTTTACGTATTTTGTCAAAATGTAAACTTTCAATGCTTATTAAAAAAAATTTGTGACCATGTGTATTTTTAATATTTTTTTCATTACCATTGGGACAATATATTAGAAGCCTTATATTAAATTTTGAAGCTTTTCAATTTAATTCAAGATTTTTCACGAGATTCTTCACTTTTATCAAATAAAAAAATGTCTACCGAAAAGTTTAATTAAATTTTTATGAGCATTTTAATTACAACATGGATATTTATTATTTACTAAATTTCTCGTGTACCGATAGGAATTCTTATTTTAATGTTATTCAAAAACGAAAAACTGTAGAGACTTGAAATTTCCACCATATGCTTATTTTATTAATTCCTATACTTGATAAAATTTTTTAAGTTATTTATAGAGATTTGAAAATTTCTGTTTTTTAGTTTTTTATTCTATAAATGTCAATAAAATTTGGCACTTTTTTTTTTATAACCAATTGAAGTTCAAATTTTGAAAAAATTTATTTAATTGAAAATTTACAAATTCTTCAGTTGTTAAAAATGTATAAAACGTTAAAATTTTATAGCTATTGCTTGAAAATTTAAAACAAGGTTCCACGTAAATAGAAAATTCTGCTGCAAAAAAAAGAAACTAAAAACTATTCAAACACAGTTTTTTTTATAATTATTTTAAGTTCAGATTTGCTAATATTAATTAATAGTTAATGTCGTTAGTGACTTATATTAATACTTCATAATAAATTATCAATGTAAGATCAATAATATACCTACTCATCGTTCCACTCAGAACCTTTAATAATAATAAATTTAATTCGACTAAACTAAGTTCCATCATAAAACAATATTTGACATACAAAATAAGTGAAAAACATGGTTTTTAAATTATTTTGTATCCAAATGTTAGGGAGCGATGCAAAAATAAAATGGAAAAACACAAAGGATACGTTTAGAAAAGAACTACAAAAAGAACCAATTAGACGTTCAGGTGATAGCGGGATTGAATATAAATCTAAATGGCCATTTTTTCAAATGATGATGTTTGTAAAGGATTCTTTACTTCCTAGTTCTATGTCCGGAAATTTAAATGTTGGAGAACCAGATTCATTTGCATTACATGAAGCTACTGATGAAGCCAACGAAAGTGACCTTGACGTAACGGGTACATCATTTACTGATGTGACATCTCCGTCTACATCTACGTCACATTTAACTCCCAAGTTACTTTATTAATCCCAAGGTTACTTCAAAAATGAAAAGAAAGAAAAAAAATAGTGAAGCAGATGATACTCATAGACTTCTAGAACTAGAAGAAAAAAAAATTGCCATTCTGCAACAAGCACAAGAGACAGAAAATAAAAAAAATGAGGACCCAGACGCTCAATTTCTTCTCAGTATCCTACCATACATAAAAGAATTTGATCCTTTAGAAAAACTCGAAATCAGAAGTCAAATTCAAAATGTAGTTCTAAACGCTTATAGAAAAAAAAAAAGATACATCGGGTAACCGCTCACAGCTTGAGTCTATTCAAGACATTCAGACCGACCTTCTGAACCAGCCAAGCGTAAAAAAAATGTACCGTCCATATCAGGAAAGTAGTCTTAATTCTACTCTAGGACAATCCCAGTGGAGTATGTCTGATAACGTTGATAATATGCCAAGAATTGCAGGTATGCAACAGGCTAGTGATGTTCTATTGGGAAATAATCAATTCAACCAAGATTTTTTTAATCTTAATCAGCAGACGTTTTAAACATAAGTTTAAAAAAGTCAGTAACAAAATAAAAATATATTTACTTATATAAAAGTGAATATATTATAAGATAACATTATGATTTAAATTAATTAGCTATTTGAAATTTGCAGGATGCCAAATTGTTATATTTAATTTTATGATTTAATTTATGTTTAACTAACAGTAATAATTTTATTTTTATTGATTTTTTTACCATTTTATATAATTAAATTTATTTTAAAAATAGCTGTTCTTATAATTTTTTCTATTGAATATTGATTTATAAACTTAAATTGTGACTTACCTTATAGTTACATACAACCTTTCAGCAGGAGATATTGGTTTTTTGAAATTTGAAATCTTCTTTCTAATACGATGATTGATTTTACTCAATATAAAATCGTAAGTATTAACTGACATTCGTAAATAATCAAAAAATTTATCCGGTGATTTTCGTAAATCAGTATATAAATGGTGATATTCACCATATATTAATCTGCGGCGATTAATAGGATGAATACCAACTCTTTTTTTTTTAAAAAATGAATTCCTTAAAATTGGATTATCTAACAAAATTGATAGACGATTAATCGACATGATTATAACAACTTGATAACTTGGAGTATAAAATCGAAATGACAAAAAATAAGATAAGTATTTATATTTTATACAAAAACGCTTGCCGCTCGCCGCTCGCCAATGTACACGAGGCCTTATAATTAGTTTATATTCATTTTACACTGTCTCTATAATTATAGTAATACAGCATGATATCCAGGCCACAGAGCGTACGTTGAGCACTCGACGGTCAATCCGAGATCCGTAGCGTTTTCGCGGATTTACTGATACAGTGATATAACATAACCAAAATTGACTGATCTATTGATCTAACATATTATAAATATCCACTGCTTATGTCTTTAAATAATTAATATAATTAATTAGTGTAATAAATACTATGTATGACAAATAATAATCTAAATAAATCAATCAGTTTAGTACTGCTAGTATTAAAAAAAAAAAAAAACATAAAACTAAACTTTAATAAGTAGTTAATGCAAATTTATAAGATTATATACACTCAAATTATTAACATAAGTTACCTATTTTTTGAAAAAATACGTAATTTGTCAAAGCTCTGTGTTTAGAATAAGTAGATGTTTTAAGTTTACGATTTTGAGTGTAACAAACTGTATGAAAATGTATTTCGAGGTTTCCTCATAAGTAGTGAAATTAAAAAAAGTTAAGCATAAATTCATAATAATTTTTCATAAGCGTATGACACTAGAATTTTAACAAAATTCGTTAAAATTAAGAAAATTTGCAAATTATTTTGAATTTAATTCATAAAAAGGTGGGCAAGTGGGTGTCGCTATGCTCTACAGTAGGTTACAAGTGAGTCACAATGAAGGATTTTGTTAAATTTGAATTCAATGATATAATATCATTGTATAAGAAAAACAATTCTGAGCTAAGACAGTCAGTCAGTCAATAATATCTTAATGGGTGTATTTGATCATATTAATGTAAATAATGTAATATTGTAATTCAAACAAACTAATAACCGTAGATACTTTAAATGTTTGAAAAATGTTTATATTATGACAAATTTTATTTTAAAATAAGCCCTCAAACAACACAATAAAAACAATAATAATAATACTGTGCATTGCTGTATAAATAATTAATAATTATATTAAACTAGCCAATGTGCATAAATCTCCGAAAAATTGTAATGAAATAGGTATCGAAAATATTCCCTCCACATAAGGCATCGTTCGTCCGCATTAACCGAGTTGCGTATATTTGTTGTTCGGTCCTACGTATCGGAACTTATTCACTTACCAAGTCCTATTAAAAAGCCCAAAATTGTAAATTTTTTAACAAGTCCATCAAAAATCATAAAAAGAAATGAAATGCTTCAAGAAAAGTTAAATAATGGTATGAGAAGACAATTAAAACGAAAACGCACTATAATTCAGTGTTTAAGAAAACAAAACAACAAAAATATTACTAAAAACATAAGTATTCAAAAATTTCTTAACCAGTCACAATTTCATTCCATTAATTCTAAAGCTCTTATAACAATGCAAATGCTACATAAAAACCGCAAACCTTGGTCTAGTGCAGAAAAAAAATTCGCATTGTCAATTTTCTATAAATCACCTTCGACATATAAATATATGCGAAAAAGTGGTATAGTTTTACATGGTGAAAGTACCTTGCGCCGATGGTTAAAATCTATACATTTTCTTCCTGGTTTTAACAAGGAGTACTTATATCATATAAAATTGAAAGTGTCAGAAATGTCTAAAAGTGATAAAAAGTGTATTATTTTACACGATGAGATATCAATAATGACAGTCATTAAGTATAATAAATCCATAGATTTAATCGAAGGTTTTGAAGATTTGATTCCCCTTGGTCGTACATCAAAAGAAGCTAAACATGCACTAGTCATTATGGTTAGAGGACTGTACAAAAATTGGAAATTCCCATTATGTTATTTTTTGGCTAAGAACGGAGTTAATGGGAATAATTTAAGTATTTTAATAAAAGAAAGTGTTAAATGTATACTTGACGTCGGATTACTACCGACAGCTATTGTGTGTGACCAAGGGACACAAAACCAAAAATTGTTTAAACTTCTCGGTAGCACTGAAGTAAATCCCATAACTGAAATACACGGTCAAAAAATCCATCTTCTATATGGTATACCACATCTAATAAAAAGTTTAAGAAATAATCTAATAACGGGAAATATACAGATTAAAAATAAAATAATATCTTTTGGCGATGTGATTAAGACGTATGAAATTGATATGAAAAATAATACAGCCAGGGAAATGTGTAAACTGACACCTGCACATATTTCTCCGAATCCTTTTCAGAAGATGTCCTGTAAACTAGAGATTCAAATTTTTAGTAATAGTGTATCGGCTGCAATTAAAACATGTATTCAAACGGGAGAGTTGAGATCAAATACGGCAAAAGATACAGCAGACTTTTTACTCTTAATAAATAACGCATTTGATGCCTGCAACATTAAAAATTTATATGATATAAATCTAAACAGACGACCGTTGAACCCAAACAATAAACATATATTTGAAATTATTAAAAAAACAATATCAGAATGAATTTCAGAATGAATTTCAAGACGCTAAAAAAATTAGTCACAAGGACAAAAAAGTATCAATACCACCGTGTTTTAAGGGTATGATTTGGTCATTAACATCTATACTTAACTTGTATGAATCGGAATTATTAGATTTTAAAAATAACATACAACCACAAAATAATAATAAAGAATACTTCTTATTACCAAACAGACTAAATCAGGACGCATTAGAAAATATGTTTTCTATAGTGAAACAAAAAAACGGATATACAAGGAACCCGACTGCCAGAATGTTTCGCACTTGCTATGCAAGTATTTCTTCTTTTTCTTTAATGAAGGCGTCAGGAAAATGTAATTGTGAGTTAGATCAAGTTAGATCAAAACCAAACTAAAACAAATCTCCAAGAATCGGAACCAGCAGAAAAATATAAAAATAATAATAGTAATATATTGTTTCAAACATCCAGTTCGTCTTCGTCAGAATCCGAACCAGAAATCGAAAATACCAAAACAACTTTAGAGGATTGTTCAATTGCATACTTCGTGGGGTATTTGGCTAAGCGTTATGTTGATAATTTTAATTGTACATATTGTAAAAGTATTATGTTAACTGACAAAGAAGACATTAATCAAAATAAAATGTTAATTTTATATGAAACTTTCGAACATATTGATCCACTAAGCACCGGAGGCTTAAAAATGCCATCTAACTGGCAAATAAATGTATAAGTTTGAAAATATTTGAAAGCTATTTTCAAAATATAAAAAGCGAAGTTAAAATTGTATCAATAATGAAAAAAATGATTTTAACAAAATTAAATAACTATATGCCTGACTTTAAAAATGTCCCTTGTCAGCAGCATGTAGACTATATAATTAATCTATTACTAACTGTTCAAATATTCAAAGAATGTAAATGGCCAAAAAACAGATACAAAACTCGGTTAAAAAGATTCCAAAATTACGAATTTAGAAAAAACGTATACATTGTATCAATATTACTAATTCTAATTAACCAAGTAAAACAAGTCGATGTATGCACAATGATGTGTATGTAAATCATAATATATGTTCATGCATTTTTTTTTTAAATTATGTAAAATATCCTAAATTAAAAGGCTATATAAAATTATAAAAAAAAAATAGTAACAAATAAATTAAGAAAAATAATTTATGCTTTCAAAAATTTAACTCTTTATCTTACAATTTAAGAAGTTTTAACAAGTATAATATCAACTATCAAGCCTTAAAAGTTTTACCTTTAATTAATTATGTAGATACGGAACAACTATAGGTTAAAATAAAATATTAACATTTATTCAAAAAAGCTGGTAAGTGGGTGTCGCTCTGTTGTACAGTGGGTCACTATAATGGATAGTATTAAATTTAAATTCCATGATATAATATCATTGTATCCAAAAAACGATGTTGAGTGAAGTTAGTTTGTCAGTCTAGGATATTATATATATATATTATTATTACTTATTATTAATAACCGTTATATTATATTGTCGGCTAAACCTCGTAAGTCACTTTTATCAAATTGTTCAGGAACAGCAAAAAACTGTAACGTGTACCTATTAAAATTTCACAATTATAAATTATTTTCACCTTATTTTTATTTTGTAATGGGATTACGCAATTCATGTACAACGCTCATAATAACAAGAACCACTTATGTGGAAAGCGGCCTCGTCGACCGCACCCAAAAGTATTCATAGCTAGAATAGACGCTTCAAACCACAACAACTTCCCAAGGGCGCCTACATGCCACGCGCCGCTCAATTCAAAGGGCGTCGCCTTCGTATATTCGTATATATAGAGGCCAGGGCCCCAATACACATTAGATGTACCAGAGCCGCCAAGACCGAGCTAGCCGCTTAAAGCACCAGCCATTACACACCACTTACATGGAGATTATCGACTACTACAACGAGTCAACTCACGACGCTGCAATTCACCACGACTATATTAATTATTATTGGTTTTAATAAATTACAATTGATTTATATTTAAATTGACTACATTTTATTGTAAAAGTGCAACAGCTTTTGGATCCCTGAAGGGCCATACGTAACATAATCATCTATTATTTTAATGTAAAATAATACAACATTTTGATTTATTATTGAGAAAGTTTTTAATTTTACGTAAATTTACCAGGTTTTGGTGACATTTTAAAATTATAATAAATTTAACTTTAAGGGAACTTCATTAGAAAATGTGGCTAAAGTGCACTTTACCACCCCATGCATAATTTTCGATTTTTTTTTTTTTTGGAACTTATGTAACTCATCGAGTTAAGAACGATGGTGCAATCAGAATTTGTCACTCTCACTTAGTTTCGAAGTTATGGCCCTTGGAAGTAAGCAATTTTGCGTTTTTTTACGCATGAGCTCAACGCTACGTGTCACGTCTTTCGCGATTTTTTTTTTCTTATTCGTGAGACTACTAAATAAAAAATAAACGAGTGAACAAACACGGGACTAAGAGAGGTCAACTTCACTAGAACGCAGCACTTGACGTAATGACATTTTAATTGTGTATTAAAATATAGTTTCTTTAATAATATAATATAATCTAAAATCGTATTTATATTAAATTATTATTATAATTAATTATTATCAGGTAGGTAGGTACTATAGGTATAATGCGAGAATTTATTTAAACCAGATTGGACTATTTCTACTTCCAGGAGAGGAATATTTTTAATTGACCCCGCTCGGTGACTCGGTGCAACAAAAATGCAATTTTCTTAACCCTGTGACCCACTTGGGTAGGTGTTTCATAGCAAATAGGGGAATAAATTATTATTGCCCTATCGTTTTAAACACGTTAGAATACGTAAGTACAAAAAAATAACAAAAATAGTCTTCCACTTGGCATTATAGAGTAGTGTTGCGCGCATGCGTATAGACGTAAAATTGAAAATTTTGGAAGGCTATAACTTCGAAACTAAGTGAGTGTAGGAGCTGTGCCTACTTATATAACATTAATATAAGTTGAGGTAACTCCAATAATAAATAAAAGTAATATTGTGATTGAGTGGACTGTATAATTAAATAATAAAAAAAAATCACACAATTGATGCATTACATTGCAGTTTTTGTATGCATGGTTACGCGTGCAATTCATTTGGAGCTTGTTCGAGATTTGTCTTCAGATGCGTTTATTTCAGTATTATTCCGATTTATTGCACGCCGAGGTCAATGTGTAAATGTATATAGTGACAATGGCACTAACTCCATAGGCGCCAAAAAGATACTTTCATCGTGGGCATTTGATTTATCTAAAGAAAGTAAATTCAATGATCGACTATCAGATTTGGGCATTGAATGGCAATTTATTCCTCCGTCAGCCCCACATTTTGGCGGACTGTAGGAGTCTGCGGTTAAATCGGCAAAACAACATCTTGTTAAATGTAGTAACGGTGCTCTTTTAACTTATGAGGAAATTAGTACATTGTTGTGTAGAATTGAAGCAGTCCTCAATTCTAGACCTCTCACTGCAATTTCATCTGATCCATCTGACTTTAACGCTTTGACACCAGGGCACTTCCTAATTGGATGTCCATTGACTTCTCCACCTGAGCCCAATGTGTTGGATATTCCTGAAAATCGGCTCCGTAAATTCCAATTAATACAATCTCGTTTGCAACATTTTTGGAAAAGATGGTCTTCAGAATATCTACCACAGTTGCAGCGCCGAGATCGTTGGATTTCAAATAAGTCTGAAAATATATCAGTTGGTGATTTGGCAATACTGAAACAGGATAACATCCCACCACTTCAATGGCAGATGGTTCGAGTTATCAAAGTTAGTCCGGGTGCCGATGGTGTTGTTAGAGTAGTTACAGTTCGGAACGCAGCTGGTGCAGAGTATATTCGACCTGCACGGAAGTTAGCTCGCCTACCCAATCAAGATCGAGAAGATGCAGAAGATTAGTCATCAACACATTTATTAAGTGTTATTTTATACTGCTTTACCTACTATTTATTTAATTATGTTTGTTTTTTGTTGTTGTCAATTGTCATTCTATAGTAATTCAGTTTTAAGCTCTCCGCTTGGGTTATTTTATATATTTATTGTAACATGATCTCAAATATTGTAATTATCATTCATGTCACCCAATTTTTTTGTTAACCTTATCCTGGAAAGTGTCATAAGCTTTCCAGGTGGGTTTCCATGGTCAAAAATATAATTATTTGAAAAAAAAGAAAAAAAAGGCATCGGACAAGACGAGGCGATGTGAGGGGGGTACGTGATGGCGAGTTGGTGGTGATGCAGATAATACAAAGACCCGCTAGATTCTCGATGGTCGGCTCTCCATCATTGTCTTCGATTCGTGTTAAAACTTCCTCCGTCAGCTCGTTATCAATAATGTAGTCAATGATTTCCTCCAAGACGTCCATGATGATTTCTTCACTCTCGTGGTTCGTTTCGTTCTCTTGTGATTCAGCCATTTTTTCCAGGTAAATTGTCAGCGCGTAGGTACTCAGAATTGCAAATGAGACGATTTCGAATTTCGTCCTAACCTAACCTCGCCAATGATTTAAAACAAACATCGTTTGTTAGTAGCCAGCGAGTAAACCATCTGTTCACTCTCACAAGCAGTCATTGAATCAGTGCCACCAGAGTTACCATAATTCTATAACTATCAAATTGTGTATGGCACTGAAGGTCCGTTACTACGTTCATATTATCTTTTCTGGTCGGTATGGTCCGTTGGACCATTTCTTTTTTTCTTTTCTTTCGGTGCTCTCGAAGTAGCAACCTGTGCGCTTACTGCTCATGTTTATATTTTTCGGTTATACCGTTCTTTCGGATATATTATTCTGTGGTTGTTTATTATTCGGTGAATGACGGTTTTATATTGGTATGTATTGTTCGGCCGCAGGTATTAAATATTATTATATTTACAGGAGGTCATTTATATATAAATTGTTGTTGGTGTTCACCTCGTGGTTTGATTGGTCGTTTTGGTTCGGCTGCTCCTTAATTGTTGGCTGCAGGTTAATGGTTGAGTCTTCATGGTATGTTTAGCAGTGTCCATGTGAGTGTGCCAGATCAACTTGTTGTTTTTTTATTGTAACGTTGGAATTATTATATAAGGATCTGGGCACCATTTGACACCATAAACATATCGAAGGTATGTGGTCCTTCACATGGTTACATTTACATATTATATACACATTATACCTATTTATTAATATTATTATAAGAGCCGTCTGAGGAAAAAAACATATTCATGTTTAATTTATTATGTGTTAAAATACCATTTGAATTATAAACCTGTACCTATTATTATATTCATTGGACTTGGAGTTCATTTCTTTTGTTTATTGTTATAATTTATACTAAGCAGTATTGCACAGTCATTACTTTGTCAACTGGCAAATATTATTATATTAATTCAATTGTGTGATTTTTTTTTATTATTTAATTATACAGTCCACTCAATCACAATATTACTTTTATTTATTATTGGAGTTACCCTTATTACAGCTCCTACAGTGAGAGCGACAAATTCTGATTGCACCATCGTTCTTAACTCGATGAGCTACATAAGTTCCAAAAAAAAAATAATATTTAAAAATAATTTAATAATAATTATATCAGGGCCTATTTTAACGCAAGTTTGGACATTATATTATTTTGAGTAGCTCTGATTGAAAAATGTGGAAAGTTGGTTTAAATAGTGGTTGGTGTGGGTATACCAAATCAAAGTCAAACGCACTTCTAATGCCGGTTTCCCACGACTGGTGTACTTGCCAAATATTCGTCACTTGTGCATTTCCCGAGGATTGTCGGTAAACGTGTCACAAGTCAAATGGGAACACTCGTGTGTTCACCATTCGTTTGCCTAGACCAGGAATACGGTAGCACCTAGCGCATATGCAAAAGTGACATATTCCAATATTGAAAACCTCTCGATAGGGGACGTTTTCTTGTGAAGCAACTACAAACTTTTTACAATTTAAACTCTCTGAATAGCGGACAAAATATCAGTGACTAGGAATGGCCGGCATTAGAGGTTTCACTGTATAAGTATATTATTATTCTATAGGTACTACACCATAAATTACGGTTAGTTGGGCTCTAAACGCACTGCGGTATTTTCGCCGTTGAGTCCAAACGGTTCTACCGTTCGCGGATTTTACTACCCGCACCGCACTACGTTTTTTTGCCGCTGTTCAATAGGGGTTATCATCGAAAATAAACCGTCACAGTGGGTTCTTCTTCGTCGAAACAATGTGTTTACTTTACGAACGGTCAAACCGCTGTATGTTGCGGTGAGTGGTGACCAACTTCGAAGAACAGCGAAACCGTTGAGTGCGGTGCTGTCCATCTAAATATAGTAGGTAGTTTGGTTGTGAAAACCGTTGGGATCAACGGTAAATGTGTTTGTATGTTAACTGGTTTAAAACTAATAGTAACTGAAGTATAAGTTTACTTTCGTATTAAAAGTTTTGATTTAAAATAATCGTTGTTCATTTTAAATATTAAAAATGTCTGCCAACATTAAACGCAAATGAATGGACTTTAATGGAGTCATTATTGAATTTATTAAGACCATTTGAAGAGCTCACCAAACGCATAAATTCTAATAAATCAATATTAAGTGAAGTTATCCTTGGAATTATGTCATTAAATTCATTTTTAAATCACCCTAGTAGTGTTCATTTTGGAGTTGGGACTACAAAAGATGTGATGCTGAGTAGACTCCATAAGCGATTTGAAAATGTAATAAAAAATGAGAACCTTATTCTAGCAACATTTTTGGACACAAGATTTAAGTTATTGTTTTTTAAACCTGGAAAAGACCAGCAGCGAAGAAAATAATTTGAAGTACTATTTCAAACTTTAACAATCTTAGTTTAACAGTCATACCTGATAATGTTCCTATTGATATTTCTTCAACAACAAATAACAACAATCAAATGGTTTTAAAATCATTATGGGACTTTTACAGTGATATAGCAACAATAGCACCATCGAATAATTCTATCCTAACGGTATCAAACAATTTTACCGATTTAGATGACTATACTATTTTCAACAAAGATTTAGTAGTGGAATATGAAAACTACTGCAGTATAGAGTCCATTTCCATTAATGGTGATACATTAGGTTGGTGAAGTAGTCAAAATGACAAATATCCATGTATTGGAAACAGGCAGCTACTCAAAAAATATTTGTCTGCATCAAGTGTTTATTCAGAAAGGTCATTTTCAGAGAATGGGTTAGTTTATGAAGCTAAACGAAGTACACTCCATCCTGAGAAGGCAGAGCAAATTTTATTCTTACATCATAACATGAAGAAATTTTAAATATTCAATTATTTATCAATGGTTTTGTTTTAATTCTTAATTTTATATGAAAAAATTAAAACTATAAGAAGTTATATTGTTTACAGATTTGCTGTTTATTTTTATTGAGTATCTACTATCTAGAGTGAATTATTATTATATTATAAAACTTGATGGTTAAAAATTTATCTGTGTTTGTATCTGTGATTTTTACAATAATTCAGTTTTTAGGTGAGTTATGAGCATTTTTAATTTATGCTTCATATTATGCAAAACTCTCTACAAAATTTAACCATCATAAAAAACACACATTCAAACAGTTAACAGATAATTTCCATCAAGTTTTGACTAGGTTTTATCTTTTAAAAGACATTATTATTTATTACTCGACCAGTACTCGAGACTAGGTTTAAACAAAAATTATGACTCGACCAGTACTCGAGACTAGGTTTTAACAAAAATTATTACTCGATTAGTACCCTGGACTCGGTTTTAACGGAAATTGGTACTCGCCTAATACTCGGTACCCGGTTTGTTGGTAAAAAATCTACCCGGAACACCTCACTGTGATATCAAATCATTATCCCGGCATTGACGATACACAGTGCTGCCAACTTATACCCACAATAATATTTAATCACCAATATTTAAAAAGTTATTAACATTATGCACTTTGCCCAGCTATCCGCTTTACCCTGATCTCCCCTATTGACAGTATTGTTAAGATTTGCTTTATCAATAACTAATGGATCATCAACAACATCATCTTCATTTAAATTTTGTAAATTAATATCCTTCCTAATTAAATACATAAAATATGAAGTGATTGTTACAAAATTGACATAACGCCAATAGACCATGTTGTCCTGGTCGTTATCTTAACGACGTCTCTATCGACGTCCGCGAGATCGCGACCTACAACCGGTCCGGCCGCCGGCCCTGCAGCGCCGGACGGCGGTGATGGCGATCAGCTTTCGCAAGACCGTCGTCAACAACACACGTGCCGATAAATATATATCTGTCTTTGATATTAAATTATTATATTGTACTAAATAAACGTGTTATCGTTGATAAAAAGTGTCTTGCATTTACTTAAACCGTACTATGCCATCACATGGCATTAATAGCAACTTACTCTAATAATGTATCAGTTGAAGTATTGACAGTATTGTTAAGATTTGCTTTATCAATAACAATAACTAATGGATCATCAACAAATTCATCTTCATTTAAAGCTTGCAAATTAATAGCCTTCCTAAATAAATAAATAAAATATGAAATAATTCTTACAAAATTGACGTAACAGCATAAAATGTTTGAATAAAGATAATCATTTACCGATAACTTGATGAATTTAAGTTACAAGGAGTTAATAAATCATCCGTTTGTGAACTGATGGCAGTAATAAAACTGTTGCTAAAATCATCTAAATTTAATAAATAAATGAAAACATTAGACTCAAAAATGTACTAAATAATATTACCAGCGTAGGGGAACTTTTTTTTTCAGCAATTAAATTTCATTACTAATTAGTAATTTTACTAAAAAAGATAACTTAAATCACATATAAATTACTCACAATATAATGTAGTTGAATTACCGCCAAATTACATAAAATGTAATTTGTTTACAGTA